GGGTCAATTAAAAGATAAGACATTGCTCCACATAGCAAGATAAAACTTGTAGGCCCTATGGTCCCAATTCTCAGCAAGAATCCTCTCACATTTACATGAAGATACACATTATCTTGTTAAAAGGTGAGATAGTTCTGCCCTCTGTGAACATTTCCTGGACACGTTATGGATGGGGTTGGCCCCACCTGGACACAGCTTTGAGACCTTTACTGTGCATTTAAATAGCATGGCCTCCCTTGACTGGCACCCAGGAATAGACAGCTGTATAGATGTAACCTGCTGAGCCCAGCAAAAAATATTAGCTAAGTTAAACACCAAGGAAAAGAAACAAATGAACTTCAGCAGCAAGGACCCAAAAGAAGAAGATAAGGAATAGTGTATTAATTACTCCTACATGTGAAACAGTGTAATTCTCCCTTGTATGCTGGGGAAGTCAAAAGCTTGTACATCCATGTAAGATGTCCCAGAACTGTAAATAAAATATGAGGTTGAATCTGGAAGCCCATGTCAGTAGACTGCAATACCTAATCTCATTAGCCCTTGGAGCAAGGCTCCTTAGCTCAGGATCAGACCAAGGCTGACGGGGTTATGTCCTTTCTGGAACATAATTACTTGGCAGCAGCTAAGGGCTTTATTGCAATGCTTTCTGCTCTGGTCATTAGACATATCCTAGCTTAAAAATGGCAGAGCAGATAGAAAAATCCTGTAACAGTTGGTGTCAGAAGGTCAGCCAAGCGTCACTCATCTAAGCTCTCCTAAGACAAGAAAAAGAGAAGCTTCCACTGAAGATACAGAAGTAAGCATTTCAGAATCAGGAGAAGGAATTGAATTACATTCTGAACAAAACCATAAGCAGAGTACTTTCTTCCTCATTCTCTCAGAGAAACAAAGAAAAGAGCTTAGATGGATAAAAAATAATAAAAAATTTCTAACATATGTTTCATAGATGAGACGTTATTTACTGTTACACTAACTAGAATTAGAGTTAATACAGAATAGATTTATAGATATAGTCAGAATTCATGACTGTGAGGGTTATGCTGCGAACAAATTTTTCATATTGGCATGTTAAACTGTATAATTGGATTTGTGAAGGTCCTACACGTGTTCTTGAAGCTTCTAATCTGATTAAAGCCACTGCTTAGCATTGCAAGGTTTTTGCTTTTCTATACCTGTCCAAGTTTTCTACTAATTAGAACATTAAATTTAAAGGTGGAGACAAGGGGGGAACGCTGCAAGGTTGCACAAAGCAAGTGTACTTGTATAATTTCTGTCTTTATCACAAAAAGGGAGAATACATCATATGCTACATTACTGTGAATCAAGGGCAGAATATTTGACTTGATAATGATATAGTCAAATGACTCAGATATAATTTAGAAATTAATAAACGATTTATTGAAAACAACAAAAAAGCAAATCAGCGCACTGGACGGCGGGGAGGACCTCTGCCTTGCCACGGACCGCACCCACAACGGTGAAAAGCCCCTCTTTTATACCCTCTGCAACCAACCCCCCCTCAGTCATGCCAGTTTATTATTGGTCCCAGTTTCGCGGGTTCTGTTGTGTTTGGTTCTGGTTTCGCGGGTTTCCCCATTATTGGACTCCTGGTTCGCGGGCTTCCCCACTATTGGACTCTCGGTTCGCGGGCTTTTAGTCCTGTTGCTGAGGGAAGACAACAGCTGCTCCTGTCCTCACGACCAGCCATGCTGGGGCTTCTTCCAGAAGGGTCTATCATAACTCTGGGGCCAACACCCCACAACTCTGTTTCCTGGAAACATACTCAGAACAGACACTACAAAACAGCAGGATAGCTGACAAGCCCTGCAACTACAGTGATCCAACACTCTCTGCCACTCAGCACTCAATGACTCCACAGGAACACCAGCTTAAACAACAAGCTTAACATAAGCTTAACAACTAACTTATTTGTAAACTTTATTAACTCAGAACTTTATTAATTCAGAACTCATTTGATGAACAAATTATTCAATTTACTTATCACAATAAGAAGAAATAATTTTTCCACCATGCATGAGTGGTTACACACTAGAACAGGTAACTAGTCAATCTCTGTACTAGTTGTTTCTGTGATTCAGAAAAGGCACTGGATAATTTTTTTCCACAGCAAGAAGGTTAGAGAGAAGACTAATGTGTCATCATGTGTTCAGGACTTATGACTTGATGACTTTTTGACTAAGATTTACACTGTTATTATACATTGCCTTCTTATTTACCACCTCGGCTTCCCTCTTAAATAAATCCTGATTTAGAATTGCTTTCATTCAAATGCAAGTCTTTGCAGGGCACTCAAAGTAAAAATCAAAGTAAAGCTTTGACTCTAGTAAGTGTCTCCTACCTCTGTTGTATATGTGGATCTATTTGAACACATTGCCATTGTGTCACCTGCAGAATGCAGGAGCAATAAAGATGGTTATGGTGTTTTTATGGTGATGATGTTACCTACAACCTTGACTTTTGGTGGTGTACTCTCATTCCTACTGGCACTGGCAGAAGCACTTCATCATGTATGATACATCCACTGTCTCTATTGAGGGAAATTAAGACAAATATCTAATGTAGGAACAGCCAAGAAAGAAAGCCAAGTTAAAATGAGACAGCTCCAAGTATTGTTCACATACAACATTCCAGAAGAGCTCTTTCATTCATTGGCTATAGAATAGTCTCATCAAGAAGACCTAGAATGGCAGAGGAGAAAGCTTGTGGTTGGTACTGAAGTTCTCTACTGCTTCATTGCCATTTCTGGTTGTGACTCCTGAGAATATGTGTGAACTGGTAGTAGTTTATGTAATGTCTGTATTTTGTTGTGCCTCAAATGTTCATCTTACACTGCAATTAAAAGGAGACCTCTGTAGTAACTAGGCTGTACAGGCTAAAGATAATTCAGTGGCAACACCTTAAGCTGGCACTCAGGGGCAAGTTTTTCTATACGCTACCTGTTCTTTTTAAATGACACAATAAAATTTTTCAAAACAAATAACTGACCTATATACTAATCTGTTACACTACAAGCCTAGGCTCTGCAAGTGACAATATGCTCTCTCTCCTGGTTTGGAGGACTGTCCACATCCAAGCTGTAGTTGTCCTGAAAGCACAGTCTGGATGAGAATGTGTCAGTAGCTCTGAGGCCTGCGGGAAGCCAAGGCAGAGGACAGCAGCAACATCTAGAGCTCATTCCAGAAGCAAAATCCTTCTCTAACAAGGACTAAAGGAACCACAGTCTCAGTTTTTGCATAGCATGCTCTAGCCAGCAAACTATGATGCTTCATTTTGAAGAGCAGTCTCCATTTCTCCTCAGCTGGTAGAGGCTGAACTGGGCTTACAAACTCATCTGTGTTCAAAGTGACCACAGACTCCTTCTGCCTAGCAAGAGACAGCCGTCTTTGGAGCAGAGAGAGAAAAAAGGAGATTCTTTCCCATCTGAATACTCAGTGAAATATCATAATCACAAGGACAAACCAAATTTTCATTCAGTTTAATATTTTTCCTGGCTTTTGTAATTTTAGAGGAGTTAAACAGCAAGAAATGCTCTCACTGAAGAGTCTTATGGCCTGGAACTTTGGTCAGTCTTTGGTGATAGAATGACAAACCCATTCATGCAGAGAACAAAACAAAATTAGGTTGGATATCAGGAAGAGCTTTTTCACCCAGAGGGTGGCTGAGCACTGGCACAGGCTCCCCAGGGAAGTGGTCATAGCACCAAGCCTGTCTGAGTTCAAGAAGCACTTGGCAATGTCCTCAGGTATATGTCAGTGATTCTGATGGGTCCCTTCCAACACCACAGATTCCATGATTCTGTGTAAAGGAGGTGTTGTCATCCCCACCTCAGTTAGCCTGTATCCTGAGCACGTGTGGTGGGACTCCTTTCTGGATTCTTGTATCTTCAGTGAAATCATTTTGTGTTACAGCTGCAGCTCCCTGAAAAAAAAATCAATGTAGAGAGAAGGTCCTGCATTAGATGGATCCAAAAGTCATTGTCACTGGGCTGCAAGGCTCCAGTCCACCTGGTGTTGCTTGTCCTCTAGTTCCCCAGGGCACAATTTCCTTGGAGATCAGTGCTCCAGCAGGAGAAGCTTTGCTGTCTGCACAACTGCTTTCCTCCCCCAGGGCTCTAGTTCTATTGCTGCAATTGTGACCTCATTTTGTTTGTATCTGGAATTTTAGTCCCTATCTCCTTACCTCATCTATTCCCAGGCTTTCTTCTTCTATTGAAACATCAAACTTCATCTCTAACCCATTAATAGTTTTAGTCTTTTGATTTCCTCTTTATCCATCAGTTTAATCCAGAACATTCTGTCTACGTCCAGTATTTTCCCCTTTCAACCAGTTAATAAGTAAATGATCCTTTTAAAATTTGTTTAAGAGATCCACTTGGGAACCTTTAAATTTATTTGAGAGATCCACCATTAGCTTGTATAATGATCTGCAAGAAATTCTGAAAGTAGCAAGATTAGAAAAATAACCATCTAAAGGCACAGTACAAAAAAAACAGGAATCAAAAATGACCAGAAATCCTGCCAGCATTTGCAATTCTGTAGTTATCATAACATTACCACATTAGCAGCTCTGAAAGTCACCCAGGCAGTGGGGATCTTGAAAGTGACAGTGGGGTCATGCATGTGTTTGTACACACAGACACCGCACTGAATATGCCCACAATTTAAACAGAAGTGCTAGAGCACAGGGAGCAGAAGTTTTGCCAACTTTAGTCTTCTTAAAGTCTGTGTAGCCAGCAGTGTCAGTCCTGAGGGCTTCAGCATGGGCTAGCTATCCTTGTCCTGTGCAAGCCTCACAAACCCGATTGCTAACCCTTTTCTCTTTGTTGGTATCAACAAATCCAGATTGCTGTTAGTTTTGGTGCAGCTGTATATGCTGCAGTCCCATCTGACTGCCCTGCAGACATACTGAAGACACCGAAGAGCCTTTGAACACCGGGGTTACGTACTGTTGCCACAATACGTGAGCTCCATCTGCTGCATTCCAGTAGTTTGTTATATCCTCATGCTGACAGGCAAATGAATCCTTCCATTAAGGTGAGAAAACAATGTAAGAAATTAGAAAAACAACAAGATGAAATGTTGTGAGCATAACACTATTTGAAAGCAGTAGTTAATTTGGCTGTTGAAGAATGAGGATTCAATAAGAGTGTATTAGAAGTACCACAGATCTTCCCATCAAGAATGAAAATTGTGCAATTAGAAATCAGCAAACTTATTTATGTTTTTCTATGCAGCAAGTTTTGCTGATGTTTTTGTTTTTGTTTTGTTTGTTTGTTTCGTTTTTCAGGTGAGGAGTAATATATTTTTGGGTTCTGTAACCCTGGCGTAGCTATGGGAAGCCAAGTAAGTTCAAAGATCTTTACTATGGGCTACAAGACTCACTATGGAAAGTTCAAGACTGTATATGTTCAGGTCAAACTCATCATGGCTAGGCTTCACGAACGAAGATTTGGGAAGGGCTCTACTTCACAAAGAAATACACACACACAAAAAAAAGTCTCATTTATGCTATCTTTAAATGTGAGGATGGGAGTGAAAATCAAGCATTTGGTAAACAGGGAACCATATTTGAACTGTTTGAAAGAGGTAAAAATAGTATTCTGTTCTGAGGATATGAACACACACACACAGAGCCCTTACCAAACCTCTACAAACCACCAAAACTAGCTATTCTTACAAAACTACATGAAAAAAATTAAATTAAAATAAAATAAAATAAAATAAAATAAAATAAAATAAAATAAAATA